ACGTAGAAGTGTCCACGGCACAGGCGGCCCTCGCAGGCGGGGTTGTACTTCTTGTAGAAGTCGTTGGTCCACCAGCGGATGAAGTAATCCGCGATCTGGGCGGGTGACACGAGTGGCACAGGCGACACCGTCGACAAGGCTGACTCAGGCGCATGTGAGGTGATGGGGCGCATAACAGCACCAGGTCGTGAGCATGCATGCTCCGATGCACAAACGTCAGCTGTATAACTGAGCTTCCGAGGCAGCAAGGGAAGGGGGCCCACCTGACGGCTGGTCTGGGCGCTCAGGAAGAAGAACAGGCTCAGCACGAAGATGGTCCAGCGGGCCTCCCAGGCGTACTCCCACTGAGAGGCGGGTTCGGGAACAGGGAGCGAGCGCATGTGGGTGAATGATGCTGCGCAATGCGGACGGGGTGCATGCAATGCAGGCAACAGCAGCGACGCGCTTGCGAAACCAGGGTGAAATGACAAGCCCATCAATGAGACTCACGATGGCGGCGCCGAGGGTGAGGCTGGGGCTGTGGGCAGCGGCAGCCTTCTTAGCCTGTAGGCAGGCAGAGAGGAGAGTGGGAAGGGGTGAGGAGACGGCCATCTCAGGGCTAAAAGGTGGTAGGGCGGGATGCGATGACAATTCAAGGCAGCGGTCCCCCACGTCCCGTGCAAGGCTCTGTGGCAAGACGTGCATGCAGCAGGGGTCGCCACATTTGCAGCGTCACTTGTGCTGCCCCCTTGGTTTTTGGGACCTGGGACCCCAGGCACACCTTATCCTGGTTGGTGGTGGTGGCAGCCTTGGCCGGCTTCTTCTTCTCGTCGCGCGGCTGCTCAGCGTTGCCCGCGGCAGCCAGGAGGTGGGAGGCGGGGAGGTACCTGCGAGGTTGGTGCAGCGTCGCGTGCAGTGCCGCGTGTGGTGAATAAAAGGACGGGTCCCAGATGCATCACTGTCAAATAGGCTTTGCACAATCTGCATATGCACAGCTGGCCGGAGGGAGTGCACTGGATATGTTGCTCATGTCTATGTGCGATTTCGCTCAAGCTTGTTTGCGGGCAGAACCTGGTGAATCTGACACCCACCTGGAGAGCAGCTTCTGCGCGCCCTCGTTCCAGGGACCGAAGTAGACGCAGTTGCCCTCGTCCATGATGGCCACCTTGTCGCAGCGCGGCAGGAACTCGACCTGTAGTCGCACAGCAGCGCGTGCGGGGCAAACATTTAGGTCTGGCCACGGGGTCAACCAGCAGATGTCGTTGCAAGCTTCTCAAAGGCAGGTGCAGCCGCCCGCGATGCACCCATGCCGCCAGGTCTTTACCTGGTGGGTGATGAGCACGGTGGCCTTGTTCCTGAAGAGCCCCTTGATGCAGCGGTCAAAGATGTGCTGGGCGGTGTGGTGGTCGACGGCCGACAGGGCGTTGTCGAGGAGGACGAGGTCACCGCCGAAGTAGGCGCACCTGTGTGCAAGGAGGGCGCGGCCGGGGCGGTGGGAGAGTTTAGTGGGCGATGGAGGAGGGGAGGCTGGTAGAGTAGACAGAGCGCGCTTCCGCAATGCGCCGCAGTCAAATGCTGGCAGGAACTGTTTGTAGCGGGCTTGGGAGCTTAGGACGCGGGGTTGCTGCGCTGCACCGCGCAGGCGCCCCGTTTGGTTGGAGCTTAGAAGCAGTGCGCAGAGCAGCGCCACAGCACGCCAACGCACCTGGCGAGGTTGAGGCGCTGGCGCTGTCCACCAGACAGGTTGATGCCGCGCAGGCCGGCCTGGGGTGTTGGGTGTAGTTGGTTGGACAGTGTTGAATTCCATTACCAGAGGGAAGAGCAGGTGACACAAGTGCAAGTGTCTGGCAGCAGGCTGCAGCAGATGCGACGCAGGCTTACATCCTGGCCGAGGGCTGAAAAGGGGCAACCCCCACTGCCCTCAAGCCGCGCCATTTACTACAACAAGTATCAGCGGATGATGCAAATCGGGAGGGGTTGCCCTCACCTTGGTCTGGTCGCCCTGGGGCAGGATCTGCAGGTCGAGGCCGAGGGCGCAGGCGTCGATGACGTCGTCGTACAGCGCCTCGTCCACCTCCTCGCCGAAGATGATGTTGTCGCGCAGGGCCAGGTTCTGGCACCAGGCGGTCTGGGGGACGTAGGCCATGCGGCCTGCGGCGTGTGCACTGCCGGACTCCTGTGGTAGTCAGATTGGCGGCCGGGGTGGTGGGTGGATAGGCCATGAGGTATCGAAACACCAGGCGTGCTTCGTGCGAGCTCAAGGCGGGCCTCCGCATGCTGCATGGGAGCAGCACCAAAGACTGCAACCACACGAGCGCCTTTATCAGGGCAGCAAATCCTGCCCCCAGCCCCCGCAAGAGGCGCACCACCAAGCAAGACAAGCGTGCACATCATAATTCGGACCCCCCGCCCCCTCACCAGCGACATGTTGCCCATGATGGCCTGCAGGAGGGAGGACTTGCCGGCACCCACGCGCCCCACCACAGCAACCAGCTCCCCGGGCCGCACACTGAACTCAGGGACATTCAGGCGGAAGGGGCTGTCGCCAAGCACGTGCTTGAAGGTCGCCTGGGAGTTGGGTGCAAAGGGGGGAAGGAATAATAAGTTGACAAGTCTCAGCGCGGTTGAAAGCCTCTGCACAACTCTTGTGCATGAGAATCGCAGGGCGGCAGCGGCCACAACAGGACAGGCGCATCGGCTGCATTTAAGCCGGGTCAGGGCTGCGCGTGCACAGGGTCAAGCACTGGCTGTTTTTCACTTCACTTGGATCCTGGCGCCCCACCTTGCTGAAGCTGACGCCGGGTGCGCCCTCGGTGTCATGCTTGGGGGCAGCGGGCTCGGCCAGGAACGTCTCGATGGTCTCAGACGCCTGGATCGCCTCGGACACGCAGCGCAGCGCCTTGGGCAGCAGCATCAGCGGGAAGCGCAGGACGTTGAACAGCGAGAGCCTGGGGGGGCGAGAACGGGAGCCAGGGGCAGGGACGTCTGGTCAGCAGGACGGCGCTCGAATCGAGGATGACTGGGCCCCGGTCGCAGGCCAGCAGCAGGCCGCCTGTCGAGGCGAGGGCATATTCGGCCAGGGGCTCACATGGTGAAGGCGGTCTGCGGCGTGATGAAGACACCACCGGACGGGTTCTCGTTGGTGAGCTCATAGGGGACCTGGCGGAGTGCGACAGAGGGCCGAGAAAATGTGTCAGGAATTCAGGCGTTTCCAGGCTTGTGGAGGGCCTTGGGGGCGCTGGCGTTGCGCAGCCCACAGGCGGGGCCGAGGCATGCAAGGCAGTGTCAAACAGGCCCTGAGGGAGGCGACGTCCTTTCTCAAATTGATTTTTCCCAGTGGCAGTGCGCACCAGGACGGCGAAGGTCACAACAGGAGGAACGCCGAACACCATCTGCAGGGGAGCACGGGTGGGTGAAGCAGCGGACGCATGAGCGGGGCCCAGGAGGCACAGAGCGAGGGCGCTTTTCACATTGGCCCTCTGCAAGGAGGGCAGGTTTCGCTCCATCGCATCACAGCACAGGATGCCCACGACTGCTTTTGTGCTGTCTCCACCCGTCGCTGTTGGACCCCGTCTTACCGTGACGTTGATGGTCTTGATGATGGCGTTGCGGATCAGCAGGCGCATCTCGCGGGACCGCGCATCAGAGATCTGCGGGGTGGCACGTACGGTGTGGGCCATACAAGACAGAGGGTGCAGGTGAGGTGGCGAGCGAGGCAGCCAGGCCATCAACTCTGACAGCTCACAGCGATCAAGGCGCTCACCCCCGGTGCCCCCTCCCCCTGCAGCCTGGATCATCAGGCCTCAACGAAACGCACGGCCGCCTCCAGAACATGATGCCCACTCAAGCCACCCAAGCCACCCAACCCTGCCCCGCACCTCGCCCTCGAAGAACCTCTCCCAGCCGTAGTACTTCACCAGCTTCATGGCAGGCAGCAGCTCCTGCGCATCCAGGCATCAAGTGGGTCCAGATGTGAGCAGTTTTTCCAGTGGCAGTTTTGTAGTCCATCTGGGCTCAAATGCCGCTCGCACTGCTTGAGCCAGCCGTTTCAACAGAGATACAGCATACATAGGCATCCCGCGCACCTGGATGATGGAGTAGCGCGCGTTGGTGTTGGGGAAGTTGGCGACCTTGTTCTTGATGATGCGGTAGCCGAAGTAGTACTGGGCGGGCACGACCAGGCAGAGGATGCCCACGCCGGGCAGGCAGTACTTGCCGACCAGCGACGCCAGCAGGACCATGATCGCCACGGCCTGAGGGTGGGTGCGGGCAACGGGCAGTGTTTGGTGCAGGGTGGGTGTTTGCTGGCAAGCATTTCGGTGCAGGAAAGGCACAGCGCGTCAGCATAGGGTGAAGATCGAGCGCGGCCTGGCACAGGCACCTGTCGCCGCCCCTTTCCTATTCTGCTGCCTCCCCTCGGCCCCCCCCCCCCCCC